TCAATCTGTACCAAATTTCATATGTTTGATAAATGTGCTGGACTGAAGAAATCTAAATGCCAAAATCCAGTTATAGTCATAGCACCACCAGCTGGCAGCAGGAAGATTGGCACATTTAAATGACTTTGACATATTCCTCCTGTATTTACCACTTTAAATGCATATTGTTCGCCGTTCGCTGTTTTACTAAAGCCACCCCCTGGCGGTGAGCCTGGGTGCGAGGGCCAATTCGTCGCTGCTTGCAGCTTTAATTATTATTCTTTTCCGAAAAGGATCGCATTTTTGAGGGCCTAAACATTCTCGAAAACTCACGAAACTTTGCACACGCATCAGAACTGGTGAAAATTTACATCTGATATGGGTTTGAGAAGTGGGTGTGGCAAAATGGCTCAATACCGCCACCTGTAAAATTTCAACGGAGTGCGCCTCGAGCTACATTTTACATACATGTACGAAAATCGGTACACATGTGTAACACACCATTACCTACAAAAATGTCTCTTGGTACAAAATCCAAAACCCAACAGGATCTCCATCTATACACTTTCAACGGAGTGCACCTCGAGCTACGTTTCACGTACATGTACGAAAATTGGTACACTCATGTAACACACCAATACCTACAAAAAAGTGTCTTGGAGCAAAATCTGAAAGCCAACAGGAAGTCGGTTATTTTAAATTTTCTCTGCAAATTGTGTGTAATTTTTGCGATTTTCAGACGTTGTATTTTAACGAACTCCTCCTAGAGATTAATTCAGATGAGCACCAAAGTTGTTCAGTATAATCTAAAGGCCTTTGCGATGGTAAATTGCGAAGATCTTGAGCTTTCGTTGAAGGGCGTGTCCGTGGCGGCCTGACAAATTTCGATGTTTCGCCATGAAAAAGAAAGTTGCTTTAACTGAGACATGCAATGTCCAATCTGCCCCAAACTTCACGTTTGATAAGACTCCTGACCCGAACAGATCTACATGCCCATATTCAGTTATAGTCATAGCGCCACCTGCTGGCAACAGGAAGTGACATGCTTAACA